CATGGGCTTATTCTATTCCAGTGAATCGACCAATGCCCCGAGTATTGTTGGATATGCTGATGCAGGATATCTCTCTGATCCACATCAAGGACGCTCACAAACTGGGTATGTATTTACATGTGGAGGAACTGCAATCTCATGGCGCTGAACGAAACAAACGTTGGTAGCCACATCTTCCAATCATTCAGAAATACTTGCCCTCCATGAAGCCAGTCATGAATGCGTTTGGTTAAGGTCGATGATTCATCACATCCAAAGCACATGTGCCTTGCCCTCAGCAACAGAAACTCCAACCATCCTGAATGAGGACAATGCAGCTTGTATTGCTCAAATCACAGGAGGATACATCAAGGGTGACCGGACCAAGCACATATAACCCAAGTTTTTCTACACGCATGAGCTTTAGAAGAGTCAAGTAATCAAAGTCAGACAAATCCGTTCAAGTGATAACTTGGCAGATCTCTTCACCAAGTCTTTACCCAAGTGCACATTCCAGAAGCTAGTGCATGGCATTGGATTGCGACAACTCTGCAAGCAATCAAATTGGAGCATGCAAAATCAGGGGGAGCATTCAAGAGTCCTCTAACACATGACATAAGCGCATTGTACTCTTTTTCCTTCGACTAGGGTTTTTCCTAGCAATGTTTTAACGAGGCAACATGAGCGCACTTCACATTACCCTAATGTCCCAAATGTTGTTGTACTCTTTTTCCTTCGCTTAGGTTTTTTCCCATTGGGTTTTTCCAAGCAAGGTTTTAATGAGGCAACCAATCTAGGGACATGTGGCCTTCAAGGGGGAGTGTTATAAAGTAAAAAGTGAAGTCCACATAAATAAAGCGAGGGGGTATTAGTCAAAAGATAAAATTATAATGTTGGAAAGAAATCATTATGTCTCCCTTAAGAGCCATTTGCTTTGCCTATAAATAGGCATTATATCTGCTTGTAAACAGACACGAATGAAAATAAAAAGAGAGTGAGAGCAAGAAAAGAAAAGAGAGAGTGAAGTCTATCTGAAGAGAAACTATATTAGTGTAAATACCACAAAGAGCAAATATAATTCCACTCCCAATATTTAGTGGTACTTCCTATTATCTGATTATTTTATTTTATAACAAAGGCAAATATAAGGAAAAAAAAACAGAAAGAGAAGAAATTACGAAAAGTCAGCCAACCCAGTGCAGAGTCCACTCTAGTTTTGCGATCTGAAGGAAGAAAGTCGAAGCAGCACTTCTCACAGGCGCATTTCTCCTCAGTCCCTCCCAAACCGAAACCATGCTGAAGCTCCTCAGTGTCCTCACCTTCCTAACCCTAACCCTCCCATTTCTCGCCCACTCTTTCTCGCCGGACCACCCAACCGATCGCCGGATCCTCGTCTTGCTCGACGACCTCGCCCTCAAATCCTCGCACTCCTTGTTCTTCAAGTCCCTGCAATCTCGAGGCTTCGAGCTCGATTTCAAGCTCGCCGATGATGCCAAGATCTCCTTGCAGCGTTACGGCCTGTATAGCTATGACGCCTTGATTCTCTTTTCTCCTTCGGTCGATCGTAAGTCTCTCTCTTTTCGAAATGTTGTGTTGTGGAAAACGAAAACTTTGGTGAATTGAAATGGTTTTGGGAATTCAGCTTGACTGTATTTATTTATGATTTCTGTTTTATCATGTGATATAGGGTTTGGAGGGTCCATTGACCTGGCTGCTATTCTTGATTTTGTGGATAGCGGTCATGATTTGATCATTGCAGCTGATACCAATGCATCTGATTTGATCCGACAAATCGCAGTCGAGTGCGGAGTTGATTTTGATGAGGTTGGTTTAAGCATTGAAGCATTTCACTGGTTACTATATCAATTATCTGTTTTCAGTCTCCTTTTTAATATTCAGAATTTCAGTGAAGTTGGTTTCTGTCCAGTATGCATGCATTGCTTCTTTAAATCTTCTACTACCAAGAAAAAAAAAGGACTTTTCTTTGAAGAATTGATCATTTGGGAATAACAGAAACAGCCATAATCACTAAAGTGCATATCCATATCAATGTATTACACTCATGTCTTTGTTACAACAAAGCCAATTCTAATGCAAATTTAATTCAGGTTTGGATGAAATTATAATGCTTTATTAACAATTGCAGAATTATCATCTATCGTGTCATGAACTGTTGCTATATGTGAGCTCTTTATGAATAGCTTCTGATCTTTCTAGTGGTGTATTTTCTGCTGCTTCCTTAATGACAGCAAGAATAACTTCACTAAAATGAGCATATTGTCAATTACTAGCTCCTGTCATTAAGTACATAATAATGCTCACAGACCACTGTCATACACTACACTAATATGACTGAGGTTAGCAAAATCATTTTTGTTGAAATAGCTTGGTGTATTTTCTGCCACTTCCTTAATGACAGCAAGAATGACCACTGTCATACACTACACTGATATGATTGTGAGGTTAGCAAAATCATTTTTGTTGAAAGGGCTGTTCTTTATATATGTTTTTTCACTTCTCTTATCTCATAGTATTCTACAAGGTTTAATGACACTCAATATTCATATCCTTGCCTAGAATTCATACGTGTTTCTCTAGGTCATAGCTTTTCGTCCAGCATTTTGAGCTTGATTAAGGAACTGATGTTTTTGAGTATGTTATTTATAATGGGTACAGGATCCAGCGGCTGTGGTCATAGATCACACAAGCTATGCAGTTTCCGACACTGAAGGAGATCATACAGTTATTGCTAGTGATGATTTCATCAAGTCTGATGTAATTTTAGGAAGCAAGAAAATTGAGGTATCTATTCTTAACAATGTTAATATTTGTTGTCCAGTTGAATTATGTTAAATCTTGCTCATGTGTATTTCAATTGGTAGTATTTACAAAATATTGTTTCCAACGCAATTAATTTCGTGTATGAAGTGTTCTGAATTTGTAATTTCTCGTTCTCATTTCCTAATTTGCCTTTTGTTTCTTCTACTTTTGCTCTTCCATCAACTTATATGGGTACTGGCCTGGCTACAGGTCATGACATTTTTCCTCAAGCCATTCATCATTTTTGTCCGATCCAATAATTGCTTAAGCAAAGTGTTTAGAGAATTTGTAACGGTTGCACTCAGAGACAATTCAATGCACACTATTAGTAAATGGTAGTGGTAATTATAGTCTTTGTGCCTGATATTGTTTATGTTGGCGCTTCTGCCACAGGCTCCTGTACTTTTCCAGGGGATTGGCCATACGGTGAATTCTGAAAATAGCCTGGTAAGATTTTTCAATTTTCCATCTTCAGTGCATTGCAAAACAATAGAATGAACCTTTGTGCTAATTAAAGTTATTCAACTGTTATTGTTTTTTGGTTTTTATTTTAAAAATTTTAACCCTCACTTTTTCATGTAAATATATGCATCATTTTAGGTTCTGAAAGTTCTCTCAGCTTCACCTTCAGCATATTCTGCTAACCCCAAAAGCAAGCTGTCAAATCCTCCATCTCTCACGGGATCTGCTATATCTTTAGTTTCAGTTGTGCAGGTGTGTTAACACTTCACTGCCTGTTTTCCTCTCCTCTTTTACTGCATTACTGTGTATATTATTTTTGTGATACATAGATGGTTTCCTTCGTTTATGTGTTTGTCTATGCTTTGTTTAGAAAATTCAAACTCATGGTTCTCTGTGATGTGTAAATGATATTGAAGATATTGTTAATTATTTACAACGTACTATTTGTTTCATAATGTTTTCTTGAAGATAGTGTTTATTTTTTACCTCTCTCTTTCTCTCTGTCTCTATTTTTTCCTGGAGGGAAACATAGGACTAATTGCTATAACATAATTTCTCCAGAAAACTATTATAGAGCATCCTATTTTTTCTCATTACCACTTTGTATTATGTTCTGCTTCCTCTTTTGCCTATGAGGCCAGTGACTTTTCTCTAATTCCTGCCCTAGCAATTGGAAATGGATGTTTGATCTTCAGTATCGGGATTCAGCTCCTTATTGTCTGGTTACATTCATAAACATTACTAAATCAGTGAGTTCTTTGAGTGGAGAGATCTGTAAATGATATATATATATATATAGAGATTCTGTAACAGTTTTCATGTGTTTTTCATGTCTATTTTGTAGGCAAGAAACAATGCTCGGGTTTTGATCTCTGGTTCATTAAGTTTGTTTAGCGATAGGTATGTGATGATTTCCTGCCAAATGAAGTTCTCTAATTTTTTGATTGTTTCCTCTGACAAGATTTGGTTCTCTTTTTCAGGCTTTTCAGATCTAAGGTTCAGAAGGCTGGGAGCCCAAAGAAGTGAGTGATGCTATGAATTCTAATTTAATTTCTTTTCCATACATGTTACAAACATTTCCTATTCTAACTGCCACATAATGTATTAACTTATATAATCAAAGAGGAAAAAGAACCTTTTAGTGGAGAATGGAGTTCCTGCTTGCCTGTTGTCAGTTAACTCATAGCTATATATCTGATATGTTGAAATGGTCATGGTGTACTTTAGTTGGTAGTCGCGCATCTTTGAAAAGAAGATCCCAAGTTAACTGGTCTATTGGGTATGATGAAAATTCAATTGTTGATTGGTTATAAACTAATAAAAGCTGGTAGGCTATGGCGCCTATTTTGAAGTAGGGATGGCCTTTACAACTTATTGATGAGCTATGATTCATGCAGAGATTAGGCTAGACATTTAGGCATCAATAGAAATATGGATGCTGGAGAAATAAGGGCTCACAAGCAGTTTATAAGATATATTTTTTCCTAATGTAGCTGCCCAAAATGACTAATGAATAAAATATGCATTTTTGGGTGCGTTTACTGTACATACCTCTTAATACCACAGAAGACTTTCCTGTTTGAAACAAGAAATTAATGAGAAACTTATTTTGTGATAACAGACATGAGAAATCAGCTAATGAGCAGTTTCTGACTGAACTTAGCAAATGGGTTTTCCACGAAAGAGGTCATCTCAAGGTGAGGCAAAAGTTATTATCTTGTCGTCCTGATAGCATAATGTTTATTGATGAGGCTTGCACAAAAGTAAAAAAAGGGGTAAAAAAAAAAGAGAAATAAGAGATGGTGGCCAGGTTAACTCATCTAATAGTTTCATTTTAGGTATCGCTATATTTTTGGGTTTCTTAAATGCTCACCTTATTAAACCATTTTGTTCTGTAGGCTGTGAATGTAAGACACCACAAAGTTGGGGAAGCAGATGAACCTGCAATTTACAGGATCAACGATGACTTGGTAATTTTTATTTATTTGTGGTGTTAATAAGACTCCCAAAAAAGAGCAAAAAACTAAAGTTCTTGGCACCTGACACTGAAATTACAATTGAAGGAATATTCGGTGGAGATTTATGAATGGCATGGAAAAAGTTGGGAGCCATATGTTGCTGATGATGTTCAAGTGCAGTTTTATATGATGAGTCCCTATGTTCTGAAAACCTTATCGACTGATCAGAAGGTAATGCATGTTATTCCCTCCAGACTTTCTGTATTTCCTGTAGATTTTCTGTTGATACCCTTTCTGATTTTTGTTTTATTTTTTGTATTGCAGGGCAGTTATTTTACAGCGTTTAAAGTTCCAGATGTTTACGGGGTGTTCCAGTTCAAGGTTGAGTACCAGAGGCTTGGCTACACAAGTTTATCCCTATCAAAGCAGGTAAGAAATGTACCTATTCATGGTGGAGATGTATCTATAACTTGTTAAGAGAAGATGTTGCTATTAAAAAAGTTTATCTATGTTTACCCGTAAACCCCATGGAGGAGGTCATTGTGGACTTAAGTGCAATTAGGATAGCTATTTGAATGGTGAGAAAAAAGAAAGAAAAATAATGATTGTATAGTCTTAACATACAACAACGAGCCACCCACCTATGTTTTATATCTAGTATGGAAGATGTCTGAGTTAAGACATTTTGTGTAGCACGTAAAGCATTATAATCCTGAAGTACCCAAAACTTTTTACTCTGACCAATTGTGCTACCTTTTATTTTGTATCATGCTTTGTGTGTGTAAGTCAGGCTTTTTCCGTTTTCTTGTACTGTTTCTTTATCCACTACCTGAATGAAAACCATGGATATTGAATTGCAGATTCCTGTTCGGCCATTTAGACACAATGAATATGAAAGATTCATACCAGCAGCTTATCCCTATTATGGAGCAGCATTTTCTATGGTAACTCTCTTTTGCTCTCTGTAATTGGTCATTAATTTATTATACATGTATATAACGAGCTGCTTAGATGGGATCCCAGTTTGTAGGCTCCTTTGCGGTTCAAACGGCACTACATGTTTTTTCTTGACATTTTTTCTGTGTAACTTCTGCCCAACTCTCTCTTTTACTGTTTCCCAACTCTCTTTTAATGGTCTGAAGATGATCACAGCTTTCTTGGCCCAGTCATTAGTGTATGTTCCATCACATAGGAAAGAAGCCCAAGATTCCCACTTTTTGGTGTCATAAGCTGTATTTAGATAATGAGTATGATCTTAGCTTTACTGAAAATTACTTGGAACTATTCTGATAAAAAAATATTTTTGTTTGTGATGCAGATGGCAGGCTTCTTCATCTTCACGGCTGTCCACTTATACAGCAAGTAGCTATAGAACAATTTGTCAGGGAAGATGTACCGCGGGCACTAAGAGCTTAGGAATGGAGATTTTGATAGGCAATAGCATTACGCAGACTTTTCTATATTATAGGACAAATTATATCGTTGAGGAACTGCTAATTATGCCAAACCTTTTTATTCATCCAGTTAATAGACACCATTATCTCCTAGGCCGCCACGGGCGTTTATACATTTAAAAGTTACTCTCATGCCAAAAATGCCCATCAGAGAGAAATGAGAAAACTGGTTGATTTATGGAGGCTGTAAAAGTGTTCTGAAAGATGGTTAATATCTGAAAATTCTATTTTATGATTGCGTTATTTTAGGTGGTACAAATGTGACATTAGATGGGGCAAGCGATTTACTGAAAAATATGCCCTTTAACCAAGGTGGTTGGTGTGAGTGGTTCGGCACTCTCATTCCTTAAGAGAGATCAGGGGTTCGATCCTTGCTGTAATAGTACATATTCTGATAGAAGCTAGAGGATGGAACTCAATGCAGAGAACGAATGCTTGGCTGATCGTGTCTTTGCTTGCATTGCACATGTTATGTTCTGCTGACTAATCAAAACATTGGCTTTGTCTATTTCTTTTTAGGGTAATAATTTCCCCACTCCCTTTTTATCCACTTACACTCCTTTTTTAGTTATAAAATAGTGTAGGTGGATAAAATTGGAGTGGGGAAATCACTATTTTATCCACTTACACTCCCTTTTTAGTTATAAAATGGAGTGTAAGTGGATAAAATTAATAGATATTTATAAAAATACCCAATCCTAGACATGTATTTATAAAAATACCCAAGCACTATTTAAACATAGAAACATACCCAAAATGGGTTTTGGGTATGTGTGTAATGATGGGTTTTGGGTATGTTTATAAATGGGTTTTTTTTTTTTTGGTTACAAGGCAGGCCGAAGCCAGAAAAGAAAAAAGCTAACAAGGCACAGCCCTACTTTGGGCTCTTCCTAGATCATCATCCAGCAACAAGCTTGAGAGGGAGACAGGAGCAGACTCATAGATATGAAGGCCCAAGGGTAACTCGTACCCCAAGTTAGCAAGGTGATCAGCTGCTCTGTTTTGCTCCCTGTAGATATGAGAGACATTGCATCTCCAATCACGGTTAAGTAACAACTTGCAGTCTTCAATCAGACAAAAAAGAGGATGAGAATGGTTACAAGCCTTAGCAATCAGAGAGACAACAGACAAAGAATCACATTCAATATCAAGGGACCTAATGCCCTTGGCCCAAGCCATTTGCAGACCTCTAAAGAGACTCCATAGCTCAGCCTCAATAATATTTCCAATCCCAATATTTGCAGAGAACCCACAGATCCATGCTCCATTAGAGTCCCTTAGCAAACCACCAGCACAAATCTTCCAAGAACCTGTTTTACAGCTGCCATCCACATTCAATTTGAAGTTGCCAAGACTAGGAAGACTCCAATGGACTTGGATGACCTCTCTAGTAGGCTTAGCATTAACCACAATATTGGCATCAAGCAGCACTTCGATTGGAGGTTTGCAGTGCATATAAAACGCGGTCGGCAAATGTGCTAAAGCAGCACTTCGATTATGTAAGTGTTCTGAAAGATGGTTAATATCTGAAAATTCTATTTTATGATTGCGTTATTTTAGGTGGTACAAATGTGACATTAGATGGGGCAAGCGATTTACTGAAAAATATGCCCTTTAACCAAGGTGGTTGGTGTGAGTGGTTCGGCACTCTCATTCCTTAAGAGAGATCAGGGGTTCGATCCTTGCTCTCGTACGGAGTCACCACTTTGGCCAACACTTTACCCCTTACGGGCCGACCCGGTGTAAGTGGGGATTAGTCTGGGTTGTGGTTAAGGCTTAAAGATGCCACTCATAGTTGGGGCTCATCCAGGACTACCTCATGGTTCAGACCAAAAAAAAAAAATATATGCCCTTTTCAAACATCTAAGCAAAATCGCTTACCGTTTGCTTTGATTTCAAAGTAATTGCAATCTTAATTGGAGGTTTGCAGTGCATATAAAACGTGGTCGGCAAATGTGCTAAAGCAGCACTTCGATTATGTAAATGAAGCTCCAGTAACTTGTAATTTGCAACTGGATTAGTTTTTGTTTTTGTTTTCCATTTCTTTGTATGCTATCCCCCCATATATTTCAGCTTCAGGGTTTTTAACTGCAATAGTTCACATTCATTTTGGTTTAAATTTTGTCATACTTCAATGGCAATTTGGTCCTCCCGTCAATATGACTGTCAACTTAAATTTATACGATCAAATAAAATTCGGGTACAAATTCATGGACTATTGCAATTGAAAATCCAAGAGCCTCCAATTTTAATAGGGTTACGAACTAGCATTTTGCAACACTCAAAATAATGTCATCGTGGTACTTTCTCTTTTGTGAAAATTATAAAATTATAATTTTAAAAAAAAATTATCTTCTCACATCTTACGTGTTGGTCAATTGAAATGGAATACCCATTCCATTGTTTGATTAACACCTAAAAAAAAAAGAAGAAAAAAAAAAGGGTAGCTCTATGACCAAGTAGTGAATCTAAATCCCCACAAAAACCGATTGTAAAATATACTTTTAATTCTTAATATCATATCCTCAGAAACACAACCTACCAATTGGACAATGCTTAAAACCAATGCTGAAAATAAACGTTTTCTGTGAGCCTAAAATTTTGACAACTCTTACCAGACCATCATTTTAAAAAAAACACAAAAAAGAAAAAGAACCCTGATTTATATGTATGGAAAGTTACTAGTAAACGCCTTGCGATGATGAAAAAAACAGGCATTTATCAGCGAAACCTCCAGAGTTGATTTTGGCCTCCTATGAATCAGATAAGCACCAATTCTCAGCTTATCTGGGATTAATGAAGGCACCTCCTCCCCTTTTTCCCACCATTCAAAATAACACTCACACACACACAGCCATACAAATTCAATAACACAAAAACGCAATGAAAATCTGCACAAAAACGTCTTCTTTTCAAAAGGGCAGAGTTTGGAGCTCAGGGGTTTGCTGGGTTTTTGATCTTCTGTTTTTCTTGGCTGCTCCATATATTTATACTCGTTAGAAGAAAACCCTAATCCCTTTTGTTACTATTTCGTCCTTCAACTTTGTTGTATTTCATTATGCGCCTAATTATTCTGAAAAATTGAAAGTTCAGACATGGGCTCACATTTACAACCGGCCTTACCCAAGTGCCCAAACAAATGAGAGCCCAACACAATTCTATGAACTCCTTTTTTAAACCCCCTTTTTTTTTAATACAAGCAACATTGGATTAGGAGAACGCGGAATAGAATTTAGGATCTCGGGTGTAGAGTAAATGGTCTTAAGACTCCTAACTACTCTACAAGTCCCTTGCGCATTCTAGGAGCTCTATGACCAAATTGCGTCCACAATCCAAGTAGCTCGTATTTTAGTTTTCTTCCCAATATTAGAAGAGGTTTAAAATTACAATTCCCTATTGCACTCATGGGTTTCAACAAGCCATGAGCTTTTGATGTGTTGGGTCATATACCATGAGAGGCTCGTTTATAGATTTAATATCTGAAGTTTGCAATAATTACGGGGGACACCTGATGTGTACAGTGTATACCCATGTGTTTCTGTAGCACTCAGATCGCGAGATGAGTGTTACAGGAATACAAGAGTATACACTCCAGTGTATATAAGTTTCTCCCATGGTAATCGGTGTGGGCTTCTTAGCCCAAAGAGATGTGGACGTGGACTGGATGCTGAAAACCCATCTACTACACCCGAGGTTGAAATGGAAAAACTTTGCCTGATAGTGGCCAGTTTGGGTCAAACCTATGACGCATATGAAGAGGAGGCCTACCACTCTTGACAATGTTGTTTTGGCTCATATATTGTTTTTAATGTCATTCTATTTTATACTACAAAGGAAAGCCATAGAGGAGAGGAGGAGGTACATGTCAGGCAAATGTTCTTTACCATGGGAGCTCGTCCTGTAGGGCGTCTTGTGCACAAATCAAATCAAGACGAATCTATTTTTAACAGTCTCATTGAAAAAAAATTGTAACTTTTTCCTTTGGTTTGTCGTACTCCAAGTTCTTGATAAATTATGAAGGTTTCAAATTCTCAATAAGAAACCTAATGGGCAACAAAACATCGTACACATTTTTGTAGCATTAATCCCTTTTTCATTAAAGAAGGTTTCATGTTTAACGTCCAGAGTTGGAGTTTTGATACTAATTTGATGGTTTAGTATTTATTTTCTTACACTAAAGTTTGCAATCACTTTTCCGTAAACTAAAATAGTTTTAGACTATTGTTTGGACAAATTTTCTTCTATGCGGATGTCCGGACATGATTACAGTGCGAACGTCATATATTTTCTACTACCACTCCCCTGCTTTCCTCCATATTTAAAATGGCTTCCGCAAGTCCGCATTGATTGTTTAAAATATATAAATAATAATATAAAAAACGACCGTCCTGGTTTATTTTGACAAAAATTTAAGCCCTGCATGATCGGTATTCATCATGTGATATGTAATATGAAATGATGATGCTATATGTTGAGGCCAAGAAGTTCATGGTTTAAACAATACATAAAGATCCAAATAGAACTTTACAATAGGAAAATCAACATTACATCATTGAAAATCAAAACACACTCTTGCAAATAGAAGCAAACACGTTAAAGTAAGCTTGAGAAAACACTCAACAATGAACCAAAAAACTTAAGTAAAAAGTTACCACAACAAACAAAAACAGAATAAATTAAGCTGCAGAGGAAACCAAAAACAGATCGATCTCTTACGCAGCACTTGATGATCATATGTGTTAACAAATTATTAGCAACGGATGGGCTGGCCAAGGTTGCATTTGGCAGGAAGCTGCATGGCAAGGTTTGGGTCGATGCCATAGGCAGACAGAAGGTTCGAGTACTTCTTGAAAAGACAAAGGCATTGGAAGTCAGCCATGGAAAGAGCTGAGCAACAAAGAGCTGAGGGAGGCAGAGGGTTTTGCCCACTCACTGCTGGGGCACATGCATTCAAACCCTCTTTTGTCATGCGGCAAAAACTCTGCTCATTGTTCACCAACAAGGCCTCAGATTCAATGGCTAGTGCCAAAAGCACTAATGCCACAATCACAACAAGCTTTTTGTATGCTTCCATGTCTAAAAATATATCTTTCAGTCTCTATATATGATATAGATCACTGCTGTGTAGTGAAGTGTGTGAAAGATGGGTTGTGGGTTTAGCCTTATATAGCAAACCAAACACATAGGGCTGGTGAGTTGTCTTACTCTTGCCCATGGCCACTTGTTACTATATTT